AAAAGACAAGGAAGGTCACAACTCCAGGAGGCCCAACAGAGGGAAGCCACCAGGCAAGGAAAAAACTAAAGGGAAAAGGGGAAAAATAAAAAATAAAAGAGTTAACAACAGTAAAACATCATGACAAAGATGAGTCAATATTTACCAATTATAACCATCAATGTTAATGGCCTCAGTTCACCAATCAAAAGAAATAGATTGGCAGAATGGATTAAGAAGCAAAATATAACAATATGCTGTATACAAGAAACACACCTATCTCAAAAAGAAATTCATAGACTTAAAGTAAAAGGATGGAAAACAGTTCTCCACATGACAGGAACCCAGAGAAAAGCAAGGGTAGCAACCTTATTTACAGACAAAGCAGATTTCAAACCAAAACTAATTAAGAGAGACAAAGATGGTCACTACACCCTTGTGAAGGGAGCAATGCAAGAGGAAGAGATGACAATCATAAATATATACTCACCAAATACAAATGCCCCAACTATACAAAACAAATATTAATGGACATGGAAAACCAAATAAGTACTAATACAATTGTAGTGGGGGACCTCAATACCCCACTATCAGAAATAGACAGATCATCTTGACAAAAATCAACACCAAAATTTTAGAACTGAACCAAGCTATTTAACAAATGGACTTAGTAAACGTTTACAGAGTGTTCCACCCCACAAAATCAGAATACACATTCTTTTCAGCTATGCATGGGTCATTTTCCAAAATAAACCACATGCTATCTCGTAGCTCATAGCCCAAGGACATGTTTAAGTAAATGTAAAAGAATTGAAATTAGCCCCTGTATATTATCAGACCATAGTGCAATAAAATTGGAGATCAATAGCATAAGAAACCGCAAAATTGCACAAACACATGGAAATTGAATAACAATCTTCTGAACAACCAATTGGTCACAGAGCATATTAAAGAAGAAATCAGACAGTTTCTACAAGTAAATGATAATGCCAGTATAACATATAGGAATCTATGGGACACAATGAAAACAGTTCTATGACGGAAATCCATAGCAGTGAATGCTCGTATTAGAAAAACAGAGAGAGCTCAAATAAACAACCTTAATACTGATCCTCAAGCCACTTCATCTTTGACAAAGGAGCCAACCATCCTCACTGGATTAAAGATAGCCTATTTAATAAATGGTGTTGGAAAAACTGGATTTCAACCTGCCAAAGATTAAAACTATACCCATATCTAACACCATGCACTAAACTCAGATTGAAGTGGATTAAAGATCTAAATATTAAAACAGAAACATTAAACTTGCTGGAAGATAAGTTACGTAGAACTCTTAAAGACATTTATATAGTGAAAGACTTTATGAACAAAACCTCAGTAGCATGGGAACTAGCACAAAGAATCAACAGTTGGGATCTCATCTTATTAAAAAGCTTTTGCACTGAAAGAGAAACCACTGACAGAGCTAAGACAGACAGAGTAAACATTTCTCAACAAATAAAGAAAAAACTATTTTAAAAAGTATATATAGAAAGTCACCTTTCCACACTCATACTATTGTTAAGTCCTGTCCTAGATGCACGTAGGTCTTGCCCAAGTGCTTTGTTCTGGCCAGTAAAATACTAGCAATTGTGACAAATGCAGACACTTAGAAGGTGGAGGTTCACTGGTACTTTCCCCTGCTCTTGGTGTGCTCAGAAATGTTAAATCATTATGTGAATAGACTAATCAAACTATTTCCTACTTACGTTAATGTGCTCTGTGACATGTTTCTGTTTTGGCCTGTTATTTGCTCTTAACATGAGTGTTAGATTTTATTGTCTTGTACTGAATTAGCACATCCTTAGAAGATTGAATATGCAAGCACTTATAACATTTCAGATTCTTGAAACTGTAGTAGTCTTCACATGGCTTGCCTGGGCCTTGCCTGTAATGTTTGATCACACTGTAGCACATATGGCCCGGGCTGCATTCTCATCTGGAGACTCATGTGAGAAAACAAGCACATCAATGTTTGGTCAGGTTATTGCATGATATATGTTTCTTCGGATCAGAGGTGGGAGAGTCAACAATGGCTGGCTGCACATTGGCAAGTCAGAGAGTCCAGTAAGTGCTCAATCCAAGAATATGGAAGCTATAGAACACAAGGATCAAAGATATACCATGAGGACCCTGGAGAGTCACTGGTATGAGCATTCACAGGAAGGGTGACAAAACCTATATCTGACGTCTGCAGGTGATGTAACCAAAAGACATACCTGGCCAAGCAGCATTTAGCTCTTCAAAATGTGCTTCAACTTCCTTCATATTTCCCTTTTATTCCTTCAGGCTGCAAGCCTATTGCTTATTGCCACCCACAACTTGGGTGGGTCTTCTCCCTTCAGTTTACTGGCCTACATACCAATCGTCTCTAATAACACCCCATAGATACACCCAGAACCACGCTTTACTGATCCACTAGGCATTTCTTTCTTTTTTTTTAAATTTTTTTTCCACTAGGCATTTCTTAATTTAGTCACATTGACATAACACCATTAACCATTCCATTGCAGAATTTATTTATTTACAGTCCTACAACTTAGGATTTTGATTTCTTATTAGTGATGTTACAGCCTGTGGATCATCGTCTGCCTATCCTAACATAGGTAATTCACCCATGGCTGTTTAATTGCTCAAGGCCAGTTGAGAATGTTTTTCTCAAGTCTACTAAGACAGAGTCCTATAAAATGAAAAGAAATCATGGGAAAACATTCCATCACCCTTTCTCTATTTGGTTAGAATCAACTTCCAGGTTTTACCTCCTCAAAAAGGGAGTGGCATTATACAAGGCTTTATTCACTGAAGTAAGTTACAGAAGGGATGAAGGATTACAATGAGCTTTGATCTATCTCTGTCATACCTGATTGCTGAAGGGATATTAAAATCTTTCCATTCTCCTGCTGCGTATGGTGTTGATCAAGGCTATAGCTGGGGATGGAGCCATAAATGGGATGTAGCCAAGGCACGCCTGGTCCAGAGCCCTCAGCTTCAGCTAATTCTTCTTACTCAGAGACTGTTGTGCTGCTGTCCAGATTAGCAATGCATGAGGACAGCAGGGCCACATCAAGCAGAAAGGTTTATATTTGGGGTTGTATCACTGTGGGTGGAACATGCCAACCTTGCTGACAGAAATAAACTCCAGCACCCTCAGCCTCCACCCTGCTGATGTTCAGTGTGAAATCTGTCCCTGATCCACTGCCACTGAATCTATCTGAGACTCCAGAGGCCCAGTTGGAAAGCCTGTAGTTCAGAAACTGTGGAGCCTGGCCTGGCTTCTCAAGATACCGATGCAAATAGGCCATCCTTTTACTCTGCAGCAGGCTCTGACTGGACCTGCAGGAGATGGAGGCTGGCATTCCAGGGGTGATGAGTAGGGAGAATGGAGTCTGGGTTATCACAACATCCCCAGTGGATCCTGAAATAAAGACAGAAAATGTAAATTTATTTAACAACATTATTATTGATTTTTGTGACTTTTCTTTTTGT